TATTCCTACTTTATTATTTTATGCATTTTTCACGCATAAAACGTGTACCTGCTTTATATATGCCACCCCCCTACTTTTTGGGCTTGAAAATTTTGGAAAAAAGGGTGGCTTATACATGGGGAAATACGGTATATAAGACTCTCAAGAATACTAGGATATGTCATTCTTAAATTGTGTTTTTGGAGGTGGTGAAGAAAGCATTTCCAGCCAATACTACTAAATACCTAATCTCATTCTGCACTCTCCTTGTAGTTTAAAGTCTCTATTTCTAAGATTGGATCTGATTGCGTGCAATCTCGATATTCTTCGAGAGAGTAGTGCATAGTTTTGTGATTATGTAAACATAAATGAGTAAACACCTTTCTCCCTATATTTCAATCAGTCAAATTTAATTTTCATTCAGTATAGTACAAACTACTAGCAAGCAAATTTCGCCTATACTATTTCCTTAGGCGGAATTTGTATTATACTTGCATATGGGTCGCAATGAGTTATCCTCTTTTATATTTGTTACTCTTTAACCTAGCTGATAGGCATTGTTAGGTCAAATAACTACTCTTGAGAACTGAGTTAAATAAAAATGAGTCGTTACTCATGAAACGATGGATGAAAGTTCATGCGAAATTTTTTCAAAGTTTATACTAGTCGGCTAGCTAAGTGGAATTGGAAATGATATCGGCGTAGATATCCTCTGTCAGGGCCGCTAGGCTCTAATGACCTCAAACTTGTGACATACACTTGTCTATTATGTAGAAATAACATTCATAAATTGTTTTAACTCTTCAAAATTACCATAAAAATCTCCACCAACTACTACTTGCTTTCTTATGCTCCTTTCCCTTCTGTACATATATTAGTCGCTCTAGTCTGGCCGATTCCACCGATTTCTCTGTATCTTCCTCTCTTGCACTATCGAACTCGCATCCGGTTCTCACGGATTTCGACCCTCATATGGATCCGCGACTCAAGACGAACTCTGCATTACTATCCCTGAACCCCACTTCTCAATCCTTTTCGTGTTCTCCAACAAATACATCTTTATCCATGGCCACAGCTACAAACAGATCGAATCTTTCGACACTAGCGTTTACGTCCGCCCTTCCTGGGAATACCGTTCATACTGGCATCAATCCTTATGCAAGTATGCAGGTTATACCTGATGATTCAGAGCCATCTCTCCTCACCGATCCTCCTGATTTAGCCATCATTGCGGCAAAAGATTATCCAATTCGCCAGGTATCGGAGCAAAGACCTACATGGCCTATCGAGGACGATGTGGTGGAGTTGGAGGAAACTTTTGAATCAACTGACTGTGTAACCGCTATCAATTTGCTCGTTTCATTTATTGTTTCAACACTGACACAGAAATGAACGTCAAGCCATTAATGATATAGCCGATATTATATGGGAAATCCAATAAAAAAACAATTATGATGACTTGTCGTTAAGACACAATCTGTCAAAATCTCATCTATGCTTACTACGATATTAAAAAAAAGGTATCCATCGTTTAAGGTCAACAGCTCAACAATCCTTTGTCAAGAACCCACCTTTGCCAGTTTGCACTATTGATGTGTTGAGCCTAGAAGTCATGTTTATCTGACTTTCTTAGAAATTTATTATTCTGTATCTTTACTTGACACGATCTTCGCTCTAAGCCTGTAGCTTAACGGCAGTATTTCCTCTTACCTCAGTAAAGACCTGACAGATTTCTGTATTTATTAGCATATACTTGGGGCGTGACAACCTTTTATATTTAATTCACTATAGCGCCAGTGTTTAGCTATTTTTGTGTAAGCTTTGCTGTCTCAGATTGGTATTTTATTTAGCATTTTAATAGTGCAATTATGACTGGCGATTTCATTACGAGTATTAAAAGAATATATCCTATATTCGATACTATTTCAAAACAGGTCACTTATTTATGTTTACTTCATTAGTATGACTTGAACTACTTATTTAATATTTTCATTATCCATCATCTTAGTGTAGAATATTAATAATCAGCTTTTTTTAACTTTCCATGCGTATCCATCATTCTGAATAAAAAGGTTCTTTGATCGGGCTTCCTTTATGCTAGGGTAATTTTAAATTGTGACTTGTTTACATGCGAAGAACAGTTGGTTTTCAGGTATTCTCTTGGTTTATATTTGTTGAGCTCATCTACATTTCAAGTTAAAGTGTGTGGTGAAGAATAAGATGATGGAGAGTTTCTTCTGGCCAGCTGCCGATTGGTTTTACTGGAATATTCTTATCGACGATGTTTCCAGAACAATCTCATTCGATTTAGATGAAAACGTGCTACGCTTTCGTCTGTCATATGATAGACATATGAGCATGCTATTATTCCTACAACCATATTCAAATTGACGAATCATGTGCAAGTGTCTGTATGTGTGTCTATATATCTACATATATTCCTATATATACGAAGTCAGATGTGATATCTCAAGGTAATTATAGCAGAATGTAACGTCTGTTCTTGGTCATCAAGGTTTAATGAGCACTGCTACTTTACTGTATATTTTAGTTATCACTCGGGACACATGTTCAGTCAGGTTGATCATCTTTTAGTCTTCATGTGAGAGAGAAAATTGGTACTAAGATATAAAGAAAGGTAACTGTAATCAGAAGCATGGCAAGAACATATGATTGATGTGAAGTCTTTTATTTCGCATGGAAGTACATGCTAAATTGATTCGTAGGTCAATCTCATTAAAAGACGGCTGATTCGCGTTGTGCTGCAGCCATTTGGTTTTAATACTACGTTCAGGTTGATGCAGTTCACCAGACATCCTCTAACGGTTCCGGCAAGGACAGTCTGAGCTTTCGTACGTTATGTGACGAACATCGTCCGAGCTGGTACTCATTCTTGTAAAAGCCTCACGTTAACACAAATTCAAGAAGACAACTCGACTTTTATATATGATATACATACTCATTGCGAGCAAAAATTAAGATATAGATGGATATAGAAAGGTTTGGTTAATTCACATATACTCTAGCATGTCTGTGTGTATATGAATGTTAACTTCTGTACGCAAAAACGATAACTCAGAGTAGTTAGAAATAAGCTTAATATCAGCCCCGAGTCAGCAAGGCTTAATTAGTCAAGGGAAAAAGAAAAGAAAAAATGGTGGCCGAGGTTGCGTCAGTTCGTAAGTAACCCTGGCTAAGTTGATGAGATGTAAGTCAGCTTACGAAACAACCAGTCTGAACCTGTTAGTGTGGGTTCTTAAGGCTTAAC